AAATCCCTAGGATTGGCAGCATGTGTCCCCCCTCCCCTCACTGACTGTCACTGGATGTGAGGGGGTGAAATCCCTAGGATTGGCAGCATGTGTCCCCCTCCCCTCACTGGATTAGAGGGGGTGAAATCCCTAGGATTGGCAGCATGTGTCCCCCCTCCCCTCACTGACTGTCACTGGATGTGAGGGGGAGAAATCCCTAGGATTGGCAGCATGTGTCCCCCTCCCCTCACTGGATTAGAGGGGGTGAAAGCCCTAGGATTGGCAGCATGTGTCCCCCCTCCCCTCCCTGACTGTCACTGGATGTGAGGGGGTGAAATCCCTAGGATTGGCAGCATTTTCCCCCTCCCCTCACTGACATCCCTATCAGAACTAGGCCCCTGGGTGTCGGAACCTTACACCTCTATCAGTCTGTTTTGGCCCTATCTTATCCCTGCACATGGCTGGGGTGGTGCCGGGCTGATTCCACAACATAAATGTATGTACCAGAACGTGTTTACAGGTCCCTGTATCAACTTCCACCAGGATCTTGTTGTGTAATACCTATCTTAACAAGCTACGAGCCAGTCAATTAGGACTTTCATCATGTATCTTTGAAACATTTATTGGATGTATACATTGTCTATGTAATGTTGTCCTTTATGTAAATTAAAGGAAGAAAGAAAAAAGTTTGTACTAAGAATACGAAAATAACAGACAGATACCGAATGAATCGTTATACTGGACAATTATCGCTGAACTTTATGACAAAAAATCACAATGAAGGCACTCGTTCAATATAATCAGATTTAGGGATAAGAATTATACACCAAGATCTTACGAAAAACATTTTAAACAGTTTAGAATGTTTATGAATTTTGTACCTGCAAAAGTTGTACCTGTTCAGATCTGCATGTAAGAAGAAACGTTACCAAGCACCACTGTTGATTTTCACAGGCAGTGCCTGCTTGCTACCCCAGGTATCATATAGAAGTCAGGAACGTTAAAGCTTGCTAGCCCAGGTATTGTATAGAAGTTGGGAACGTT